TGGTTCTCACAATGATATCAACGTGCTTCAGCCTTCTCCAGTGTTTGCAAGGCTTGCAGACGGCCACTCCCCAAAGGTCAACTTTGAAATCAATTGCCACCATTACAACAAGGGATATTACCTAGCTAATGGTATCTATCCTCAGTGGTCAACTCTTGTGAAGACCATACCCAATCCGCAAGGAGAGAGACAGAGGTTTGCCTAAATGCAGGAGAGTGCTAGGAAGGATGTGGAGCATTTTTTGGTGTGTTTCAATCTCGACGGGGTATCGTTCGGAACCCTACATTGACATGGAGCACTCAGAAGCTTTGGAAGGTGATGACTGCTTGTGTGATCATGCACAATATGATCCTAGAGGATGAGCGTGGTGACAACATCTACGACCAATGATTTGATTTCCAAGGTGAAAATATTGAGCCTGAGCATCCACCGCCTGCAACCTTCCAACAGTTTGTCCAATTCCATCATTAAATGTGTGATTGACAAACTCATGTGCAGCTCCAGAATGATTTGGTTGAACACATGTGGACTCACATTGGCAACCCGTAGATCTATCAGCTTAATCTCTTTTCAAACAAATTTCTATTGGGTTGTAAGACTACTTCGGATGTGAAATTATTTCGTTTGTTTGATTTGAACTATTTGCTATGTTATGCTCGATTTTAGTATAAATGGTCTCCGGGCGGACGAGATGCGGCTGTGCGTTGGATGAATGACGGACGCATCCACAAGTCCGAGCGGACACAACCCATTGCCTCCCAAACTAACGAAAAGCAGATACAATGGATGTTCGTTTGGGATCGTGCGTTGAAGTTGGCCTAAACACTAAAACGTACTTGTGCCTCTTTTTGGTTGTGATCGTGCACTGATGTGATCCGGTGTGCTATGTCATCGGACGCATTTGAATTTCAAATTTGACGGACATTTAGGAGGTGTTTGTTTTCGATGAGTGGTAACGTAAACGTAAAGGGGAACTGATTACACACTGTAACAACACTGGAATGGACAAACCTCGTTCTGTTTTGTTCTGCAGTGTAAAGGAAACAAATCAAGAACAGATCAGATCGAGATTTGCAGGAGGAGCTTGATGAAGGAGGAAGAGATTGATCCAGAGACGGGCCTTGTTGCTCCTCGTCGGCGGCTTCGGTGGTACATCCTCGTCGGCGGCTGTGGCGGCGGCTGGCTGGCGTGGTCGTTCCCGGCGACTGGATCAGGAGGAGAGGACCGAGGGAAGGCAGCGACGCTGGACTCGAAGCGGGTCGATCGAGGGGAGGTGGCGGCGCTGGACTTGAAGGGAGGTGGCGGAGGTGGCGGTG